ATCCAGTAACCTAACGTTGGTCGATTCACAGCAACGGGCGAACTGGTTTAACCGGCCTTCACAATAATCACGAAATCTCTCGAGCTATCCTGAAAGACCCGATTCTTTGTCGTGCTCGCAGCAATTCCATGCGTCTATTATCAGCATCGCATCATGGCCGATGGCGTACGTGAACATGTCTAACTGATACCGCGTAGGATATTCATCCAACTCGATCAGTGTCGCGAAGTTCATCCACTTCTCTCTTCACAAGCGCCAGTTTTCGGGCAGCGAACTCTCCGTCATCTGTAATGGAGCCGGCATCGTTACAAACGGCTGCTAGGCAAAGCAAAGCTGCTGATTACTCATCGGATTCTTCTTTTCCTCTGTCATCATGTTATGCGCCTAGTTCACCCAGCCGCGTCAACAGAAGGAACTCGAACTGGTTCTGCACACAAACGCTCTATTCCCAAATTGGAGGCAAAGTAGAATTAGCTGGGTGTTTTAAAAACTCACTCGTCCGTTCGACCGCACTGAGGCACGCGAGTCCCTTCGCCCCAGCTTTCAGCTATATCACAAACAGCAAGCGGCTAACGCATTCTACAAGGCACATTTTAGACGATCCCAATCAGCATTTGGCTCACCAGTTTCATTCAAGACAGACAATTGCTGGGCAAATTTGTTACGATATGGTTGAAGAGCAGACTGCGAGTTCAAGTTACAGGTAAGCGTAGAAAAAGGCGCTCCTAAAAACGGAAAGGGTGAGCGCCAAGCGCGCGCGAACTAGAGCATGATCGGAATCCGGGCTTGTGCTCCGAATTGACCGGTAGTCTTGGAATGTAGGTCCGCCACCTGCAGCCGATGGTCAATTTAGGTTCAGGTCATTGAGGAATTCGGTGGGCTTCAGGTGAACGTTTGTGCTAGAAAGCAGTGCTGCTAAGTTAATGATTGTCGACGGCGCACAGATGCAGGAATCGATCACTGTTGTCTGTTCGTCGTACATCGACTCCCAAGCGGCCTCCCAGTCGTTTGGAATCTGAAAGAAGCCCCAAATGGGCATTTATGTAACTAGCAACAATCACAATGTCAGTATATTTCGCCATGTGAAGATGGTAGCAGAAATCACCTTTGACAACGTACGAAACGAAGTCAGTAGGAGCAAAAACGAAGGCAATGAAAAGGCACCTTGTCTTCATCCAGTGCTTAACCCAATAGACGATCGAAGTAGAACCGCAAACATGCGGCTGTTTACCGGTAAACAGCAAATCTGCTGTGGGCGATACCAACACCATAAATACATTCAGCCATTGACTTGGTATCACCAGATACGCGAAGAGTGTAGTCATCGTCGTCAGATTTAGAACCAAGGGGTCGAAGATTCGTCACAACGCAATTATCTTGTACCAATACCAAGGGGGTGAGAGCCAGTGCTGCTTGTTGACCGATGTAAACCAAGGTGTGGACGATGCAAAACAACGTGAAAGGAGGCTCATGGTTTGATGGACGAGTTACGAGCATCGACAGCAACAGCAGCGAGGTCAGTGGCAAATCCTCGTTTTGTAGACGGGGAATGAGTTAAGAGATGAGAGAAAATAAGAAGGAGAGTGTTGTCGAAGTGGTTGAGAGGGCTGCACAAGCAAAGTATGAGCATGGACTGCGGCGCATGGTGACCTAAGCGTGCTTTAGAGATGGAGACCGATGCCCTCTAAGGCAAAACTCGTAAGGTTTTTTGTAACTCTTTCGATCCGCCGGTCTCAGGATGCCTGCTGCCAAAGAGGTTCTCTGCAAAGCGGACGGATCGCCGATCACCAGCCAGAGATGTTTGGACCGATAGGCCAAGCACTTTCACTAAAATTCAATTGAACACCACCGTCCGTCAGTGTACGCAGTCCATCTTGTTGCCTAACTTGTCCCGTCCCACGGGATCCACCCAACGAAGCGGGAATCTACCACGGGATTCAATACTACGATTCAAGACTGCAGGCTCAGACCTGCTCCGGACCTGTTCAGGTACGGCGGCGTGGCAGTCACGGAACAGCTGCCCTTGTTATTCTGCAAAACATAGCACGAAAAAGAAGTGCCTTCATCTAAAGATGAATCAGTTATTGTCACTATTTTTAAGAAAGACACTCGCACTCCAAGTGTCAATCATGGAGGGAGTAGTCTCATTTCTAATGCCTCCAAGCAGTTTCGTAGACTAACCGCAGTACGTGACTCACAATGTCGTGAAGAATAACCTAGTTCCCGTCCCGGACATGGATGTGCTGATCAAATTTTCACGCTCCGCAAACTCCTCAAATATCGTCAAATTTACCACCGGCACCCTATCGTCGCATTCCTAGACATATGGGCTGCGTTTTATTGGGTTGATCGACCTGCATTATGACGTTGCTTGCTAAAGAAGAGAAGTATATCCCAATATTATCCGCACTTTATCTTTAGATCCCTAACAGAGTGGGATGGTCTACGACAAGCATTCTTCGCCCATTCACTGTTAATAGCGGTGTGCGATAGAGCTGCCCTATGTACCCATTCCTTTTCAACTTCGAAATCGAGGACTTCCTGTCGAGTGCTCTAAAATGTTTCCAGAATTTTGACCTAGAAACTACCGACTGAGAGCGCGACCGACTTAGATTATGCTGATGATATTACCTTACATGGGTGACGATCCTCAGAGTATACAGCTCCATCTGAATCGTTGAAGCATCTAAGTATTGCATGAGCTTTGCGCCCTCCTAGTGTAAAGCGTTGCTTCAGAATTGGCCCACACCCGCTCTCGTGCTCACCCTTGAAGGTGCATAGGTAGACAGTTTCGTGTACGTTGGGAGCTGAGCTTATGCTTGTGACCGTAACAGTAAAGAAGTTTCTCTTCGCGTCACTAAAACCTGATCAGCATTTGTCAATCTGAGGCACTTGTGACGTCGTCATGACGTCTCATTCTCGATACAGGGCCATGTTTACAGTACCTCTGTTCGTTCAGTGTTGTTGTAAAGGAGCGAGTTCTGGCCAGTTCGCCTGGATGACATGCGCCGCCTTCGACACTGGTTGTTTGATGAGGATCGCTCATGTGTGGCATAAACACCAGGTTCACAGTGAAGGCGTTCGACGTTGCATCTTGGGGTATGTAAGTAATCCATTCAACGAGCTCATTTTGCTGCGCCAGTTGAGATGGCTCGATCACGTCCTACGCATGACGCCTAAGTGTTTGCCCCGCCGTGCTCTATTCGCTCGTTAAGGGCCGGGCTGGAGGCGACCGCGTAGTGGTCAGCCTTCCACTTGGCAACAGCATATGGAATCGCTGGCGTCACATCAAGCCTCCGTTGGATCCGTACGTCCTTCAGGATGGGGCCCCAAGGGTAAGTACTATCACTGGCTTAACAGACTTGAAGACACTGTCCGCAACCGGAATCAGTTGAAGAGTTGTGTACAGAAGTGTACTGATTCCTAAGTTAAATCGTCAAACATTATAAATGAAAAAATCGGCCTGCGAAAAACAAGCTAAAATGGTCATGTTCTATATTTTTGTCAAATGGCACTTTCCTTTGATTTCCATGGGTTGTCTGGTCAACCCACGTCCATATATATATATATATATATATATATATATATATATATATATATATATATATATATATATATATATGGGATAGCAGTCGCCAAACGCTGTCAGGTATACAACAAAACATACGGATACACGCCTGGGCGAATGGTGGGCCATGCGGCACACATACCACATTACCGGCCTATGTAAGTAAATGGAAGTGGAGGCAACGTACTTATGTGCCTAAAATGCACGCCTACCTACACTTCAAGAGTTATGTCGTGACGGCGCAACTTGAACAACGAGGGAACACAGTTATTCATCGTACGTTCCACCTGGCAAACTGTACTATTTGGACAACTAGGAAACTGCCGACCTCTTCAGTAAAACCCGCTCAACCGGACTTCACCATAACATATTGTAATAATAAATATGTCGGCAGCTACGAAAGCAGTTATGTTGGCAGAAAAGATCGAAGTCGTATTCAGAAGATGATCGCTCTGATGACGGCGCAACAATCAACCGGACAAGGAGCAGTAGGCGAACTGCTGGCATCATTCATTGCCAGACTTCTAATCGGTACAGGTCATCAAGTTGACTACGAATCAACGTTTGCTGTTGCGTACCGAAACAAAAACACGAGGGTGCAGAACTTTGCCGAGGTCGTGACACTTAATAGGCGCGGGCCGATTCTGTGTACAAAAGCAACTGACAGTAGTCCTAAAGCATCTTTGGGGTTCATGACCTTTGCAACAGCTCAGCCATCCAATAACTTGTATCGGTGTACTTTTTTTCTGACCCAGTTCAAAACAATCGTTTTGTTCCCTCACGTGACCTACACATATTGTCGGTTTGCAAGTAAGCAAATAAGGTGAAATGGTGCCATAGTGCAGTGCTCGTCTTCTCAGTGTCCTTTTCATAATGATACGGGGAATTCAATGCTTTATGTATTTAACTGCGTTGTGATGGTAGTATTGTTACTTAGCCTACATCTATATATGCGTTTCAGACTATAGATTGTGCTATTCCTTCTGATGGAGTTTTAAGACTGAGGTAATAATAATAATAATAATAATAATAATAATAATAATAATGTGTCAGCTGTACGCCGTAACGGCGCTTCGCTGCCGCGGAACCACCAGCAGCTGCGCGCGGGCTGTGTATACCGCGAGGACGCCCACTCCTACGCGGATTCGAACCGGTGATCTTATGGTTGCAAAGCAAACGTGCAGACCACTCGGCCACCGGCCGACAGACTGAGGTAAACACAAGCTTAAATCACAAAAAACTACTGGCAGACTCCATCCCCGCTTCTCAGCTGTTTTGGGTGCAACAACTATTATGTCAATAAATACGCACTTCTGCCCGATTTCTCACGATATGAAAACAATATACATTGCATGTCAACGAAGCGTCTCGATTACAAAGTGAAAAGTGACATCGGAATCCTTTGGAGGAGAGCAGCGACGATAAGACTTACGGTTAGTGGTTTGTTTGTGAGAGCTTGTAGTATAAAGTTGCTGACAACACGACCATCGTTCAGTTGCATGCGCGGGCCGTATGTGTTGAAAATACGAGCAATCCTCACCGATAAAGCAAGCTGTTGTAAGTATACAAAGATCACAGGGACAAAAGGGAAGAATCGCTATGAATGTGGGTCAAAGTGCAACTGGTTAAATTCAGTGGTTTGATGTTTGTCCACAAAAGCGTACGATAAAAATGAGTCAACATTACCAAAAGAAAGTGACCAATTGTGTCACCGGTTAGGTGCTGTTTAAAGCAAGCAGAGATTAGATATAGTAAGGCATGGCCGATACCACGACCGTAAAAAAGCGGTTTCACATATGTGCCATAATTATCTGTATGTGATCAGGGGGACCACTCCGAAGCACCCGTTGGTGAATGGATTGCGAAGTGCAATTTCAAGGAGGACCGTGAATCGCATTGAAGCAGATCTTCGTCAATTCGATCACTGGGACTGTAAGTAACAAAGCAGATGAATATCGAGTGTTGTCCGCCCGAAAGCACTGGACTCCACAACGGGTCTCGAAATTATTTCACTTCGTCAGGTAGATAGCAGGCATCGAAACTATCCAATCAAACATTAACCGTCGTGGCAAGTATTGCCAGTCGTGAATCGGTTGAACGTCCCAATACTCCCGGTTCGATGCTAGCTATATCTAGCCGATGAGATCAAATAGTCGTGTTTTCGATTGCTCAACGCGCAATATCCATCTGCTTCATCAGTTACGATTCCTGTGGTGGAATTTACCAAGATTCACTACAATGCGGATCGCAGTCCACTCTGAGATTGCGCGTCGCAATCCAATGGCACAACGACTACTTTGAAATGACTCTACAAGCAGTCAGTATCCGTTGTGACAGGTATTGTCGTCGGTGGCTTAGGAGTAGAGGTTTCAGCTGAAGTCGCAAAGGCCCCGGGTTTGATGCCTGCTATCTCAATTCGTCGAGCTCAAAAAGGTCGAAACACTCGTTTAATGCAGTGTTTTCGGATGGCAACAATCAAAATCCATCAGCTTCACTTATAATGGTAACAAACCAAGAGAAAGCTGACAAAAACTGGGGAATCATGATATACTCGCTTAGGAGCCAATGCCGCACTCAAATACGAACATGAGATCGTGTTGTGAACATAACAATTATAGAAACAAAAATGGTGATCGTAATAATTTTTCTCCATTTTCAGGAAACATACATGGCGAGGTTACAGTGACGAGTCGACTAATAACAGTCGATTCTGAAGCTGTCGATCATTGAGGCGTTGCAGACAGGAAAAGCGATAGTTCCGGTGACGAAACAGGCATCAACAGGGAGCAGAATCAGTGTAAGTGAACATTAGTATAAATAAAACTCCATGAAGCCAGAGATGCAATGCAGATTATGCGGATAAGTACGTCTCTCGTGAGCACATGAACCGTGCTAGACAAGAACCTGCTATTCAATTACTTATTTACTTACAAAAGCCGTAGAGAAGAAGACGTAAACCAAGAGGCAAACGGACAGGCAGCTGCACTAATCGATAAAACCGCTAAATGAGTGACAACAGGAGCGCACAGTGACGATTAGAAAGTGAGTGAAATCAGTTATCGAGGTGGTGATTTCAGATGAAAAGGAGTCGTGTTAACACTGCCACCTCGCGTAGTGATTACGATGGAATATTCGAAAGCGGGAAGAAGGCTCTAAGTCATATATTTCAATCGACACAGATTCACTCTCCTAATTGCTACGCAACCGTAGTAGATGGCACCCTGTACCCAAAAAGGAATCTTAGAAGCCTCGTCCGGTCGCATGCGATGTTGAAAGTTTTGCAGAAGCTGCTAATCCCATCGATTTTCACGCGTACACATGCAAAGGATATCTAACAGTTCAGCTATAAAGTAAATCTCCTTACATTTGATCCTGCATCCCACTATGTACATTCAACGGCATCAGCTTTGAAGGAAAAATGTATGATGGGGTATGGACTGTTTCTTAATTAATCAAAAGCTTTCGGGAGCTTTGATGGGTTACATTTTAACAAACATTGATAGCGAACAGAGTTCAAATAACTTCTTCCAATACGATCAAAGACTACTTTACAAAGAGTCATCCCTTACACTATGCTGTAATAATCATTGCCTTACACATCGAAAACTTCCGAGAGCACCCAAATTTAGTGGCTGTAGGTAAACTGATGACATCGTTTAAGGAGATATCGCTCCAGTCGTTGAGACACCTACGCTTCAAAGATGAAGGATACGCCAGTGTTACGGCTACTACTCAGCAAATCACTCTAAACTCTTTCGAATGTTGCGACGTAGTACCTTTCCTTCATTAGCTGTGAGCTGTGGCGAATGTGAACAATGCTTTGCCAGTGATTGACCAAATCATACCCAGGTACGCGTGTGTAGATGCCTATTTTAATCTCACATCCTATATTGGTATGTACACCCTACCTTTTTACGCCATCAAACCTACAACAACTTGGATATTTCGAGATCTAACTTCTAAATAAGGGACAACAGACACGCTCCTGCAATGGCTTTCCATCCACCGGAAACTTATTGTACGTTTAATAAAACACCTTAGTAGATGTAGCGCAGAGCCTAGAGGATCAAGCATTCACGACAGAGTGGGGAACAACAGACCAAGACCTACTGCTTCGTTAGCCGGGAGGCTACGGGATCTCGAGCGCAAGCCAATGGAGCACGTGAATCGTGGTAACTCAAACATCTGCTCCGAAGACCCGAATCAGCTGAGTACAAAGTCAAGCTCAGCTGGTGCCCAACAGTCAGACTGCAATACACAGGAAAAAGATCGATCAGAAGACTGGTGTTGAGTTGAAATCAACGCCCATGAGCAAGTAAAGGATAAACGGTACAGACTGTACAATGCAACTTCACGTTTTGGTATGAAATAAAATAGTGTGTTTGCCGCGTACTCGCCCAACTAGTTCTTCCATACTGGTGTAAACCCGAAGGAATAGGACTGTGAGGCATGTGGATGGGAGTCGCATTTCATCAACGGAGCCGACTCACACTCCTACACAGACAAACACAAGCACGCTGTAGTTTGGAATCAAGCGCACACAAGACGGTGGCTGGACCTTAACCAATCCACACTAAGTGCATGGAATCACTCTTCAAGCTTAGCACGGACACAATGACCACGCATCCCGTCTTTTTCAGCAACGAGCAACTGTCACCTGGAGCCAGTATGGACTGGGTAGTGGGTAATAGACAGGCAAGCACCATGTCAACTGCACATCAACCACAACCATACCGGGGATGTCAAGCAACAGCAAATCACTTGACATGAAATGTGGAACAAAATAGATCGAATACATTGTACGTCATACCGCTAAATTAGTACATGCAATAAAAGGATTATCAAAATAGCCGTTGCAGATTTAGGTTAGCAGAAAACAGGATCAAGACACATATATAAGAAGAAAAAAATAAACGAAGTTAACCATCTTTATTAGGCAAAATGCGCGATTTAATAGATTATTCAGGTATACATTAAAATGAGGTAACAAAATAACACGAAGACAAAATAGCAAACCAAGTACCGAAAAAAAGTAACTCAGCATGCAAGCACGCGGTTAGAAAATCGAATGCAGCGTACCGACAAACGCAGCGCCGGTCCTGCTTACGTTCTCAGCAGGACCCGTCGTCGCTTCGGTAGTGGTCCCGAGTAGCCTCGCTCAAGGTTCATTAGGCCAGCCTGACTCAGGCATTTGCGACCGCATGTGTTACAGCGCATGCGTTCGATGTCAATGGAGTACAACCCATCGGCGCCTGTCGCTTCCGCAACTGCCGCTTCTTCTTTGCATGCACAAGGGCTATCTCCTGTACCTCGGCAACTGCGTTCGGGATCAGATCGCGCCATACACGCCGATCAACCGCCTTCGATTCCCATGACCTGCAACCAACATTAGAAAGTGATAGGCTCAAGTTGGTCACGTCCTGGTAACGAAGCTTCGGTTTCCTCATATACCGCGTCTGCACGCTCAGCTGACCATATAGTAGTTGTTTCGGTATCCGCGTCGAATCCATACGCCACACATGACCGAGACAACTATGGTGTCTCAGCAAAACTATACAATTCACTGCATACATTCTACTTACGCTTAACACCTCCGTGTCTGCAACTCTGCTGTACCGACCGAAACGCAGAATACGTCGCAGACACCGATGATGAAACCACTCGAGATATCTCACATCTCGCCAGTGCATCGTGCACGTTTCGCTGCCGTATACAAGAATGGAGAGCATCATGGCTTAGTAAACTATCGGCGTAGTGTCAACGGTAAGCTGGCGGGTTTCCTAAACTCGATATTTAAGCTTCCTAAATGCCGACGAAGTCTTCGATACGCGGATACGCAGCGCAAAGTAATAGTTGCTGGTCAGTCAATGCCACACTCCCAAGGTAGTTGGTTTCCAACACTTCATTCCCAATCCTCAGGTCGGTGAACCGGTTGGAATCTGGAAGACACCTCCCGACTGGCTCTGAACACAATGTGACCAGACGGGCTATTAGGCGTGAACTAAAGCAGAGCCTACGTGCTGACAAGCAAGGCTGGTGGACCAGTAGAGCTCAAGAAATGGAGGAGAAAGCGGCAGTAGGAAATTACCGCAAGCTCTTCCAGCTAATCCGCACCACTGGTCCCAAAAGACCAGGCGTCAGTGAGACAATCAGAGACAGCACGGGTGCATTCATACACAATAAGGAGCGCCGTATGACACGTTGGGCGGAACACTTTCAAGATCACTTCAGCTGGCCCCCTGCTCCCGAACCTCTTCCTACTCAGGTGATGCAGGACGAGCCATGGACGGTTAGTTTAGAGCCTCCGTCGGAGGCTGAGGTCCGAAACGCGATCACAGCCCTCAATCATTTTCGTGCCGCTGGCCCGGATTCCCTCCCACCTGCACTATTTAAAGATGGAGGTGAGATCCTCTGCAAAGCACTGACCTCCTTATTCGAGTGTACCTGGAAGGAAGTGTCCCGGCTAATTGGAGCGAATTGATTATAGTGGCAATATACAAGAACGACAGTCACATCGACTGTTCTAACCACAGGGGTATCAGCCTAACGCCA